CATACCACAGTTTGTTTTCTTAGTAACCAGAATTGGTGCAAGCTAATGCTTACGTTAATGTTATTCTTCTGTGATTGGCTACAACAGTCCTCTTTTCTTTTGACCTTGGATGTTAAATTTTACTTTAAAGCTTTTTATAGTCACTTAAAAGAAAAAAAAGGAAAATAAAAAAATCACAAGGTACATGTATTTGCTTATATCCAGACTTTTCACATTAGGCCATGATAAATATGCTGTACATAGCTTTGAGCGCTGATCGGATTATTATCGTTGAAGAAAAATTCACCTTTATAGCGTTAGGCAATAAAGTTTTTTTTTTTATTTTCACCAGTAATTCGAGCACGGATATTACAATCCACGTTTGATAACAGAACCCAAGAGAGGAGGTACCTAGTACGGGTTATCACTGTCTTTAGGAGCCTTGTGGATCTCAAGACAAGACAAGAAATTTTTGTTCAAGATGATTATTGTCAATGCCCGAGATTATTATTACGAAAGCAATATGTTATCATGGGGACGGCGGAGCAAATCTCAGTCTCTGAACTTCGCTTGTTTATTCCGCAAAGACCATTTGTGAGGATCTGGCAAAAAAACATGAAGGCTCGCTTAAAGTCTATTGCTGACATCTGCGATGATTGAATGAAGAACGCAATATATCTGTAGGCAGAATACAGCCAGGCGCATGTTACCTATATTTAGGTTAAGAAAATAGGCAACGCAAGGTGTTAATTACAAACAAAGCGCGTAATCGGTACCGCCGGTTTACATGAGCGACGCAAACGCAAGCAAAAGAGACACCGTTATGACGGCATCATAATGGGATTTTATGGCAAGGCATTGTTTAGATAATGGTTTGCAGGCTAAGGCGGCAGGCTCCGTCTTATTTCCAGCCAATCAGAATTTTGGGCGTTCCGGACGATATCGTTCTTAAGGGCGTTTTTCCATGCGCTCGGCCCTTTTGACTCTCACCATCACGCTGTTCACATCGCCTGTTTGAACCAATTTTCAGCATTTTTAAAAAATGCCTTGATATAAAAAGGACATATGTTACAACTACTTCAAAGCAAGCGCAAGAAATAGAAAATTTTCCATTTTTTGTGTTACCGCTCACAAGTGTTAACCGATTCAAGGGTAGCCTTAGAACAATTCAACGGAAACAAAAGGTGACTGAAAAATTCGTCCACCATGTTGCGATTTGGGATACTGACACGCATGAGGGCTTTCTTTGGACGTGTGAACATTTCTCGTAGTTTTCTCTGTACTTCTGCCAGCGATTGAGTTGCTCATGTGAGCCACTCCAAATACTTCGTCAACACTAATGCAATCGAAAGCGTTTAACTTTATAGTCCGTTCCCAAACTGTTCGCGTGATACTCTCTTATACCCTCCGTTTGTAGGTATATGTCATATCTAATTAACTACGCCGTAAGCGTTTTTGGAAAGCTCCGTTTGCACCCGTCCACACTAGAACGACTAGCTTCCGTTTTGGAACTCTCCACTTTTGAAATAGTGTCCTTGAAAAACCCCCGTTTTTACCATTTTATTATGGACTTTTTGAAGGCCAAATCGTGTAAAAAGTACAGTTTTTAACACTAAAACGTATTTTTGATCATATGGTCTAAGCTTCCCCAAAACTAGATTGCTATAGTTTACTCCGCGTTTTTTATATGTCTTGAGTTTTGTTTTTTCAGTCTAACAAACCATTACGGCGACTTTTCGAAAGTTCATTTACTCTAGCTAAGGACACCAGACACCCTCCTTTACTGCTTTTGCATGGGCCTTAGGGTCAAACGTATGAGCTGGTGGAGGAACCACACCTTCCATGTGGTAGCGCACTCTTGCTAGCAATGACTTTAATTCTTCTGGAAGTTTCCTGTTGAGATTGTGGCGTTCTTCTGGGTCAGCAGTAATGTTGTACTGTGCGAGTTGCACATTGCTCCCATTGGTCTGTGAGTAAAACAAATAAGAATGCATATGCATTGATGATACTTGCCAATAGGGATGACATTAATTTCGTCTCCGGTGTTTTGTTTTGTTTTATTTTATTTTTTTGAGAATGTGAGTTAACTGAAAGAAAAAGAGGTCTATTTAGCTTAAAAACTGGCATATTACACCTGTAAAAGCGTAGGTTTTCTTGAACAAACGTATTTATGTGGTAGAAATTGTTTACCCAAAGTTCGCTTTGACCTATATATAATAAATTTCTTTGTTCTGTCGTTTCTTCCTAGTCTGTTGTTGCTGCTCCAATAAGTACGATTCTTAGTCGGCTTTAGGTTTATATTTAACCCTTCCAACCCTAAGATCAAAATTAAAATTTTCATTTGTCGCGCCTATTCATGCTCTGTAGAAGTAGTGGGAAGGAGTTGATAAAATATCAAGCAAATTCATCTTGTGTGATCATGTCCTTAATTCTCCTGACCACTCTTTTGTACAAAACATTGATAGTGCAAGAAGAAATTTGATGCTGAAAAGGGGAACTCAGGACAAACTGTTCGCCGATTGGGCACAATAATACAAGCACTTTTTGTGCCCAATCAGGAGCCGGCATCCGCTTGAATTTTTAGAAATAGCTCGGTGAGAGTCGGTACCCAGGGGCTCTTTTGCCCGTACTTGAAAACTTTCGTCCCGCCTTTTCTCCCGACCCGACTGACTGCCCCCGGGTCTCCGAGGATGGGAGGGATTAGGCTGTCTGAGACTACATTTGGGGCGTTTTGAAGAAGATACATGTATGACAAGGCAGCCAAAAGCGAAACGAGGATATTTCCCACAATGTTTGAACTTAACGACTTTATTCAGATCAATGTCTGTTAGATGGTACGTACAAATAGTATTTCTCTACTTAAATGAAACTAGAGAAATCTGACTTTAACAAGAGCACGCTGAAGGGGCACTCCCGCCAAGGTGTCCGCTTCCCAATGCCCAGAAATCGAAAACTTTTAGATTTACCCTCGAGATTTTTAAATGAAGAAATTGAGGCGGTTTACGAACAGAGGTGTCTATGGTTGACAAAATCCTGCGGCGGCCTCTCTTCTTGCTCTCTTCTGCCCATTTTCTAGCGAACTATGTTCCAAACTGTCCAACTGTCACAAAATTGAGAACGATTTACGTTAATGTGACATCCGAGTCATAGCGATTAAATGATAAAAAATTTAGAAACAAGTTGTTTTTCCACCTGGACGCCTCAGAAACCCCCAACGTGGTGGGGAGGGGGGAGGAGGGATGTCCTTTTCACGCGCCAGTGCGTGTTTTGGAGAAAGTGAAAATATGTCCACGCAGTATTGTACTTCTGCTTCTGTTGGTTGACGTTTTGTTCTCTTAAAGCGTGTTTATTCAGAAAAGCAGAAGAAAAACAGTCAAAAGAGCAGGCGTTAATAATTCATGTTGTGGTGATGTAAGGGTTATTTATCTGGAACGAGGGTGTATGTGATATATATATTTACCTGGTATCGCCCTCGAACATATTACATACCCCAGACAGTAAATAATAAACTATTTAATCGACCAATTCCGATATATTAAAATTCATACTGGTCTGCGAAGCTTGGGGGGGAATAAAACAAAAGAAAAGTATTGTTCATTGCTGAACCTCAATTTTATTCCTCCAAGCCTCGCAGCCAAGTATGAATTTTAATATATCAAGAATGGTCTATTTTCTAAAGATGATTATTCCCAAGAGCCTCGAATTGTTGAGGCTGAATTCTAAAATATGGAAATTGGTCAATTCATGCGGAGTAGTCAAACAGTAGTTTTATCAGAAAGGAAGAAAAGTATTCTTAACGTTAAGGCAGAGCAGTTTTGGAGGCCCTTTTGGACCATCAATCTCGACAGATTTTTATATTAGACGTCCGACGAGTCACAGTTAAACGTTCGAGTTGGAGTTGTTGTGTCATATTTGTTTGAAAATAACGCGAACGCGGCTGGTGACACAGGTTTCTCTTCTGAAAGACATTGTGCTATGACAAATGCAGACGAAGCAAATGAAGTCCAAACAATGTGGCAAGTTTATTAAATCGTTGTTCAAAATCTGACTTGTGTTGTTTCACTGGGAAGGTTACACGTCTTTTTTTTTTTGAGAAGGGAAATATGAGTAGAGGAATATATATTGCATTGTTTTGTGATTGTTATCAGCTATTGTTTGAGCCCCACACTCCCCTGTTACAATCAAAGCCATCACCAACTTTCATGAACTTTTCAGACAGTGAATAATGATCAGGGGTTATGTAATATATTCCACTAAAAAGAACAAAGGTAACCGAGCAAAGTGAAAAATAAGCAAAATAAAGTGTGAAACTGAAGAACTTAGGTACACAATTCAAGCTCCTTCTTGCCCTCATGCCGCAGCCGACCTAAAGAAATTGCTCAAGGAAAGTGTTACTACATCCGTTTATCTGTCCGCAAGCCCCCGCAACGCAAACTTTTTTCAGAAATTCAGGTTGGAAGAATTGTTTGTGACTTGATTTATGCTTGGCAAGAGTGACGTCTCCTTTAATTCCTGTAATTAATCTTACTCGTAACAAAACTGCGTAAGTTTGTTTTTTTTGTTTGTTCGTTTTAGGGTGGAAATATCTTTTATGACTTCTATTGAGTTTGTGACGAATTTTTAACTTTTTTCAGTGATTTGCAAATTGGGATGCCTATTTTATATACAAATTTTATGTTCATTTAAGTGTCTTATATATGTCAAGGATGACTCCTTCTGAAGCAAGTTTGTCGATATTCGGTGTTTTGATTTTTGAGTCATGAAATCCAACATTGCTCCAACCGAGATCATCGGCTACCACAAGCAAAATATGTGGAGGGTTTTTAGTTCGCTTCGCAAAGACGAGAGGCAGCTCTCAAATTTTTCACATCGAACAACGTGGAAACGGATGTACACAACCAAGAGAGAATGAGCTCCTTCTCTCTTGACACAACCTCCCCTCCTCATTTCCTTTCTGTTCACATGTTAGTTTTCGCGTTTAAACCCCTTTCCAACTCCATCTGGGGTGGGTACACAGAAAACCACAAAGGACGTCAACCACTTTAAACCCTCGGTCCTATTTATTCCTTTATTCATTCATTTATTTGCTTAACCTGTTATCATTTATTAGATATTTATTTGTTTTTACAGTTGCAACTCAAAGCCTAGAAAGAGAGGAACTTAAACTAGCACAACAAATTCGAAATCCACTTAATCTAAAACGATGAAAAAGATTTTTTACAGCTTAAAATTAAGGTTTCCTCTGACTGGCGTATCTCTAATCAAAATACTGCCCTCAGGAGAAATTTCAGTCTTCCCAAGGAGTCCAGATACCTTCTTCCAAAGCTTTTTCAGTTGCTCTAGGATCATCAGGTTTGTTAAGTGGAGGTACAGATTCCTTCATGTAGTATTGCACTCTGTTTTTCATTTTCTTCACCACTTCTGGAAGCTTTTCACTAAGGTCAATATGCTCTGTTGGGTCAGCGGTAATGTTGTACAAAGCCACCGTTAAAGTACTTGGAGTGACACTTGGAGTACTCTATAGTAAATACAAAAAATGGGCTAGCTAGGATATGCTCTACATAGATCATGCTTAGAAGAACTCTAATTCTCTTTCGTAAGTTATGAAAGGCGGCAAAAACATTTAACGATTCTATAAACTTACTGACATATCAGATTCTTTTGAAAAAAAGTCAGAGCCTTTGGCATCTAAATCCGATCTAGGAGCAACAGTAGGCCCTTAGAAAGAGAGAAACGGCCCAACGATTTATTTTATTTTAGACTCAAACTCGATTTCGGATTTCGGAGGTGGCATCTTGGACCGGAGAAGTTTCTATCCTATGGCACTTGAACGATTTATCGATGAAAAAAGACACTTAAATGTGCTTACTAGTTTAAAGTTGATAGGATCAATATACCTTATAGCTTTTCGTGCCGCCACAAAAAGCTACCCGGTATAGTGTGAACATAAACTGATAGTATGATATAGATTTAACTGGTATTAATTTTTACCTAATCAGTGAATAGCAATTTTCGCGCGTTTTGATTGGCTCTCGTGACTCGAAATATCCTTAGCTATTCACTGTTTCGACCGGAGCCAAGAGGGCGTCTCGTTTCGAGACATTTTCGAAAGAGGAAGTTTGAGCGACAAATGAAGTAGTCGAACAAAGAAATACCAGGAAAGAGACGAACTTTGGCTTGTCATTGTTTACTTGTAGTTATAAAATTATTTTCATGCTGAATCTGCAACAAAATCGTAAAAATGCACTTGACAAAATTCCCGAAATGTTTGTAAATTGTAAACAAAGTTCCTATTAAGTGACGATTTTAATTTACAAAAAGTTACTTTTTTCATTTTTATCCAACTGATTTGGTAAATACTAAAACAACTATCCCCTTCAGGGTCGACGAACAGCGCTACCTCGACGCTTCGTGCCTCGGCATATTTCCACCACCACTATCCAACTCCCCTTCGGGGGATAGTTGCATATTATTTACCCATACCTTTATTCCTCCTTGTGACCAATCAATGTAATGTTTGTGGTCTGGGTTTCCTTCAAGCTCAGGAGGCTTATACCAAGACGAATTAGGCACAGTCATAAGAAGCTTCATTTCACCTGATCGCAAAGCAATGCCTTCGTAATAAGTGATGGCCGATAATTCATCGCTCTCTTGTTTATGTTTTAAATCAATATTGAGTAGTATCTCCTTCCTAGGTGATGATTTTCCTTTAGAAATGGTGTTCCACACATTCACACCATCCAGAGGTGCCTGCGCATGATCAATAGTACCACCTGGAGTAGAGCGAGAAATTCATAGGTCATAATTGGGCACAGTTTTACGCCTTAAAAATTATCGCAAAATACGAAAATAATGGGTTGCATTTGGCGTTTCAGAATCGGGTGAGCCTCTGTTTAGTGAGACTTGTGTCCTCATTTTTTCAATGTGCAAAAATTTCTCCATTTATAAACTCGACGCATAATTCGTTTGAGACGTATTGGTCATCTCGTCTAAGATAAGTGCATACAACCACAAATTTATCTAAAGAATAAATTGCTCGTAATTCATAATACACTGCACAAAAAATTTGGTTTAAACCAAATGTACGCAGTGCAAATTTGGTGCAAAAAAGTGCAACCTAAGGTTAAATAAAGGGCAAAGATGTAAACTGGCATGCAAATGCGGTATTTACCATCTTTGCTTTTGATTTCCCTCTAGTTTGCACTTTTTCGCACTATATTTGCACCGAGTAAATTTGTGAAAATCCACTTTTTCGTGCAGTGATAATTAAAGAAGTACTAGGAAGAATGGCAATTAGGCCATCATTAATCAAACCTCCGCTTTAACCTTGTTAAAAGTATCGAAACGTCATGAGAAATAACCCATAAAATACCAGAACAGCTATGTTTACCTGCAATATTGACCAATGTTGGAAACCAGTCTGTAACATGCATGAGGCCTTCACATTTCACTCCTTTCCTACCAAGCATGTTTCCATGGACAAAGCTTACCCCTCTCACCCCTCCTTCCCATAAGGTAAACTTTTCCCCTCGAAGCGGCCAGTTGAATCCGCCGTGATCATGCCATCCTCCATTGTCAGTAGTGAAAACCATGAGGGTGTCCTCCCACAAACTGAAATATCAAAACAGAGCCTTATTCACTCCACTTATTATTCTTTTATATTTATGTTCATCATCATTAAAATCATATTCGGCCCTTTTGTTTGGGAGGCTGTGAACCATCTTATTCCACACATTTTCGGTCCGACGTCGCGTTTGCAAGATCATCCCTTTCAATTTCGGAGTTTCTCTAGATCATACCTGCATGGAATGTCATTTTCTTTGGATGAAGAGGGCCAACTTGGTGTCCGTAAAAGAAGGGATTAAAAGATCTCACCCTTTGCTCGTTTATGTTAATTGGCCCCAAGCCTCGTCACAAAGAGCAAAATACAAAAGAGATACTGCAAAACGGGGCTTGGAGGTCAATTAACATGAAAATAGCTGATTTATAGCTAATTAGAATGTACTCTGGGTACCAGGGGTTTTTTCTTGCGTACGGCGATTGAGTGCGGTGAAGATGCTTTAAGATCGGCCGAAGGTCGACACGTCTTTCGAGCGGCGCGGGTCACCATGAAGACTTGGCTAAAACCCGAAACCGCGAATGAAAAATCTCTGGCGGATGGAAGAAGTATTGCAAATTCCTAAGGGTATCGCCGGGTTACATACCCTGCATCCCTCATTGCCTGAGTAATGTTGCCGATGGCTTCATCCATAATATCCACCATACCTGCAAACATCCTACGTTTTTCATTCTTAATAAAGCTGTACTTGTCAGAATAATGTTTGGGAGCTTGGAGTGGAGCGTGAACATTTTGGAATGCCATGTATAAAAACAAAGGAGTGGAGGAGTTATGTGCTTTGATCACCTTATTCGCTCTCTGAGGTAAAAAAAGAGTATAATTGCAATATATCATTCAGAGGGAAAAGTCAGAGAAACTGTAACTGTAAATTGAGGGTACGAAATAGGTTAAAAGTCTTTCATTGCCCCAGGTTGTTGCTACTCCTATCTCTTCCTTCTAAGACTGTCTCCTAATAGTCATCATGGCAATTCGCCGACTGAGCCTTATTTAAAATTTTGTCTTTCCCACTTGCTATTGCTCTTCTTGACATAATCCTCCTATGAATTCTTCCGTCTGTCCGTTCTTAAGTAGCAAGGATCCAATTTAAGGACATGCGGTTGCCTTGATCGATACAGAGAAAGCAATTATCCGAGTTAACTGGAAGATCATTATTACCTTGGAGAAGGCAAATGTAGCGAATGTGCCGTTGAGGTCACGAACAGCTTCCTTGTTGTCTCTTAAGTCCAATATATTGTCAATTTCATGAGAGTAGTGGTCTCCCCACCCATTATAAAAACCATAGAATGTATCAAAACCACGATATGTCGGGGTGTATTCCCACTTGTGGTAGCCCAGGTGCCATTTACCGATCATATGTGTGGCATAACCTGTGGAAGGAGAAATCACGGTCAACAAGGAAACCCGAATTTGAATTCCCTTGGCAACTTTCCAGTTACAAAAAAATTGTCATTTCTGAATAGTAAAAGGACCTAGCTAAATTAAGGCTTTTTCGAAAATGTCAGCCCTATTAGTTAAATGCTGAATACTTTTCCTCGCGCTCGTTATTAGTTTTTACGACCCAGAGATTCTGTCTTTTCTTAAGGCTGATAAAACCCTAATAATTATTACGCACAAGGAGCTAAATATTTTAGACTGGGGTTACTAAGCTTAACAAGCTCTGGGTTACTGAAGTTGAGTCTTATTTAGAAAGTTGCCTTTTCTGCAAAATCCTTTTACTAAAAAAGAGGAATGTGAGCAGTGACGTCAGCAAAGATTGCCCTTGTTGACAAACCTGATTTCTTGAGCTTCTCGGGTAACGTTGCGAAGTTCAGAGGCAAGCCATATGGGCTCTGTGGAAAGAGGACCCAGTGCTGTAGACCTTTAAAAGAAGATGATATAAATTTAAGTTGTTTTGGGCTGTCAGTGAAATGCAAATCCTTTTCTTGGATAGTCAGACTATAATCAGTTGGTACCGCTATATATATGGCGCGACCACCTCTAGTAAGCGACGACCTTCAATAAGCGAACACTTGTCCAGAACACCCAAACGTTCCCAGTCAAAGCCCTATACAGTCAAAGCCCCTTACTACGGACCCTGAAGAGGCCATACAAAGTGTCCGTATTAAGCGGGTCAAGTTATCAAAGTCAAAAAGGCACCTCTTATTAGTACAAAATACTAAGAGAAAAAAAACATTAGCTTCAAAAAGCGGTTATTCTTCAGACTAAATCAGTCGAAGGAAACACTCAAAAGCCGCTGATCTATATATTTCGCAATCAAAACCGTTCTCTGCTTAACTTGGAGGAAGCCAAAATAGTCTAAAATTGAAATCTGCAAATCGTTCTATCCGGCGAACTTTAGTGCTGGGAACATGGAAATGGTGTAATATGCTGATTTTTTTACGTTCAGAAAGAAAAGACCTGTTACAGTACAAAGCAGAAAATGAAACGTCCACACTACCGAACCTATTGAAATTGCATGCAGATAATCCAGATACAATCTCTTTAAAAAAAAAAGAAAAGAAACTAAATGTAGACCCATATGCAGTCTAACTCTCAAGTTCCTGCGAGATCAATCAAAGGCTCGCTCTCTGAATAATCGACTGCTTAACTGTAAAAAATCATTGAACTTAGTTCTCTTCAAGTTGTTTATGTGATGTGACTATGATAAACGCCGTTTAATGAGACCGTAATTTAAACAGATACTAGAATATTAAAAGTTAATTTTAATTAAATTCTTCGTTTTTGCAACATGTCATACAGAAATTCGAAGCACTGAAGAACAGGACTATCACCACAAACACTTTTACAGTTCATTTGGACATGATTTTGAAGTTTTGGCTGCGATCAAAAGAAAAGATTTGGACTGGACAGAGCGAAACACTTAAGGGACACTTAACGCCTCATGTAGCTTAAAAAGATGCTTGTCTGGACTTGCCTGCCAAATTGTGTTATTACGAGTGAGCACAATCGTCATGTACCACCGTTTAACAAGAGACTTAATTTCTTATGTTCCTACCGATTAAATTTCAGTATAGAAAGTATTACGTAACAGTACACGAGTAACAGTTTGAGAATTTACCAGTGTGGATTGGATGCATTCCTGTGACCAGAGCACTTCTCGTAGGGGTACAAATCGGCATAACATAGTAGTTGTCAAGAATTACTCCTTCTGAAGCGAGTTTGTCAATGTTGGGCGTTTGGATTTTCGAACCGTGAAATCCAACGTCACTCCAGCCGAGGTCATCTGCTACTACAAGCAAAATGTGAGGAGGCTTTTTGGCTCCGTGTGCAAATATGACAAACAGTTGCAACCCAACTAGACAGTAGAGCCCACTCAAATAAAGTTTGCAAATCTCCATTTAGGTGTTAAAAGAAACAGTTTCTTTATACTAGGACCTTACTGCTTCAAAGATAAACTGCAACGAAGGTTACGGGCGGACTTTAGATTATTTTTTGAGGATGTTATGTCACGTTCGAGTACGTGACGTTGTCTTATGAGTAACACGTGGTCTTATGTGGTCTACTTGAATGATAAAAACCGGCTATAAGTGTTAATAAGGGACGGGCCATTGGAAATAACTGGAGGTGGGGTGAGAATTCCCGAAAAAAAATTCCCGTAAGGAAAAAAAATTCCTGTGAGCGGTGATACGCAAAAAAAAGAGAAAATTCTTGAGAAAAGTCATGTCATAACGTTGCTTTCTTTTTTTAAAATGCATCCTAGAGATTTAGGCTTAATAATAGATATTGCGAAAAGTCTCTAGCCGTAATTCTTACATAAACGCGAGGAATTCTCTCTAAAACATAGTCGTATGAGTATTACCAAAAAATTTGTCTAATGTTGTGAAGTAGTTTAGTGATTGTTTTGAAAAACATTATCATGAGGATTTTTGCTGATAGTTTGTTTTTTTCCCGAGCTTTCGCTCGTGCTTAGGGTTTCGTTATGTTTAGGTTTGTAGATCAAGGTTAACCAGTATTTGTATCGACAGGTTTTTTAAATTTTATTACCTTAAGGAGTTATTAAAAGTGTCAGTCCTTGATGTGGGCATGTTTAGGGATTTAAGCTGACCTTGATTGTTACCTACATCAGAGTTCCTGTTTTGGTTTAAGGTAGAGCCCCTTTGCGGCCGTGGGTTTAGTTGGTTTTCTTGCACTTCAATAACATTATTAGCCTTATATTAGGTTTGTTTATACCATTTTGGTGATCAACAGGAAATTCATCATACACTGTAGTCAGTGGGAAGGTGCGTTTGAAATTCTTATTGTCAGCAAGCCCGAAGTTACCTACATTTGCCATTTGGCACAGTGAGTTATATGCAGCTCGGGATGTGTAGTTATAATATGTTGTATAGTTGTGTTCAGTTATGGTAATTAGTAATTGATGCTGTAAAAGAAAACGTATGAGCTGCTTTACGCCACTTGTACATCCCTCATAGTGCACCTTATTTCCCCCCCCCCACCCCCCCAAAAAAAATTTTGCACAAGCATTGTTTTCAATTTCTCTTGGAACGGCTGTAATACACAGGAGAAATAAAAAACAAAGGTTATGCAATTTTTTTTTTTGGGGGGGGGATGGAGGAGGCAAATAAGGTGCATTATGGGAGATGTGCAAGTGGTGTATGAAGAATAACGAACAAAAAGAGGCACATCAGACTCCTAGTACCTCATCGCTAAGCGGGCGAAATGTTCGAACACCCCACACTATTATGAAGTACACAAGGTACGCGTAATAGGTAGCTTAAGTAACGACGACGGCGGCGGCAACGAGAACGGCACAAAAGTAATAGGTTTAGATTGGCAAAACAACAACTTTGCACGTTTTTTTGTACATTTCTTTGCCGTCGCTGCACGACTACAACACGAAAGTGCCAATATTCACGTTTTGTCGAGGACGTGAACGAAGACAACGACTTTCTTTTTCTTTTCCTGAACTTTGATACAGTGTTTTAGAATTCAACTACACAAAATTGCCAAAACTTAGCGAATTGAACGAGTTGGAATAAGCGCGATAAAGTTTGAAGCAGCGCGAATTCACTTTTTGAGTGACGTTCTCGTAGACGTCGCCGTCGTTGTTGCTTAAGCTCCCTAATGTCTATTATGGACATACGCTGCATGGAAATAGGTTTTGAAAACTAAGAAGAGGAAGAAAGAAAAGCTTTGCATCTTTTATTGTGACTGATCATGATATGAAATACATTGTGAGTTAAAATTTACCAGAAACTGAAACTAGCTTTCTACGTAACACAAGCAAATTTGTTGAACCTTCACACTGGTCACTGTTGTCATGAACACTAAAAAATAAAAAATACTGAGACGCTACCTCCTTCATTTAACAAATCGAAAATTAAACAAAATCAATCAACCTTGTACGACATTCTTCTCGACGCTAAACAAAACCTCTAACAAGCTAGACCATTTAATGAATTTTATTCATGACAGTGTTTCGGGTACAAGAAAGGTTTAGTCTTGCCAAGGCGTCCAAATACCTTCCTCCAATGCTTTTACAATAGCTTTAGGATCAAACATTTTGGTGGGTGGAGGCACGACCCCCTTCATGTAATACTGCACTCTTTCTTTCATTTCCTTCACCACGTCTGGAAGTTTCTCGCTAAGGTCGTCGTGTTCCGTTGGGTCAGCGGTTATGTTGTAAAGGGCCATTTGCACAGTGTCTCCTGTGGTCTGTTGAGTATAGTAAATCGTAAAAAGTAAAACTTTTTCCGTGAACTGACAAACTTATATTAATGTTCGAGTCACCCGGGCCATCAGCCAAGGCGTAATATATATGTTTGAATTTCTGGTGCTGACTGTTAAAACACTGGATAGCGCTACCCACAATGCACCGGATAAATCACTTTACAACAGACAAGTACTACTACGGAAATCAATTGCGCTATCCAGTGGATAGAGATTTGTACCGTGGATAGAATTGTCCAACTTTTGGGGGCTTGTATGTAACTAGGAGTAATCGGCTCCTGATATAACCGAGTTAATTTACTGATTAAATCTTTACGGCGGCACATCTGATATTAGTGTCAGGTGAATTATTTTTATTTCTTTCCTTCTCTCTACGCTATAACTTCGACATACTTTGTAGTGGATCGTTTTACCTCCACGTCAAATAAATTCTTACTAATAAGTTTTATGTTTATGCACAAGGTTTTCCACAAGGGTAGTTCGTGTACCTGTGGTAATCACCCCTTGACTACTCCTTTCTCGTGTCAGTCAAAATCAACTTGTGAGGAGGATACGGCGGGTTCTAAGCTGCCTGACTTACAGAAAAATATCGGTCTTTACTTCTCAATACCTTTTCTCCACCTTGAAACCAGCCAAGCCTGCCGTTTGTGTCAGGGGGTGTGTACTGCCTCATACTTGAATCTCCACCGAGCTCCGGGGGTTTATACCAGGAGGCATTAGGTACACTCAAAAGAAGTTTCATGTCTCCAACCCTCAGAGCTATCCCTTCGTAGATGTCAATCGACCCGCCTTCTTTAAAAGCATTTTCCGTTTGAGGCTCCATATCAATATTGATCAGTATTTCCTTTCTGGGTGACGGATCGCCATTGGAAATGGTATTCCACAAATTCATACCATCCAGCGGGGTTGGTGCTTGATCAAGAGTACCACCTGTTGGAATATACAGTGGAACCTTGATATAACGAACCTCCATATAACGAAGTCCTCGGTATAAGCATGATCTTGTTTACCCCAGTAATAGTAAAATATATGGAAAAGTACCTCGATATAACGAAACCTCGTTTCAGCGAACACATTTTGCCAGTCCCTTGGCACTTCTTTATATCGAGGTTCCATAACAGAACACAGCTTAGAACAAAAACACCAAACAAGCAGCAACGCATCATGCAAGCGCCGGTCAATCTTATGATCAATGCTACAATTGTTTGATATTTCTTCAGTGATTTATCTCTCTGTTCAACGTTTTGCTAATTTTTAAGCATGTGTTTACCTGCAATATTGACCAAGGTTGGAAACCAGTCTGTAACATGCATGAGGCCTTCACATTTCACTCCTCTTCTGCCAAGCATGTTTCCATGGACAAAGCTTACCCCTCTGACCCCTCCCTCCCATAACGTTGTCTTCTCCCCTCGAAGCGGCCAGTTGAATCCACCATGATTATGCCATCCTCCATTATCAGTAGTGAAAACCATGAGGGTATCATCCCACAATCTAAGGAACAATAGTAACTCACGTTAAATTAGAAGGCGTAAGTCAAACTGAATGACGGTAATGATATGGAAGCCGTTATACTCCAGTGATTGGCTTCTTTTATGGGGTATAAGTGATAAAGGAAGAATGACAACACAAGCCACTTTAATCCGTGTCACCTCCAGGGTCAGTTATAGAGGCATGTAATATACTCTGAAATGAGACTGCAGGCAATGTTAGGGCGTGACCATTCATGACCTCCTCTGAGTATATCTTTTGTTTTCCGGCTTTTTAAAGGAGCTGTGTCAGGAAATTTATTAAAATTCAAGCAGTGGGAACTGACACCAAATTGAGTAAAACACAAGAATAACCGCTCAAAACGTTAAAATTAAGATGGTATAGATAACACAGCAGGTACAAGAGGGATGGAAAATCTTTTAGAACTTTGAAATAAAGCTACAATTTTGAAAACTTGTTGGCCTAACAGTTTTGTTTTGTTTTGTTTTTTAAATAATGCTTAAGGGCGTCTTTCTTTGATATGAAGTCGTGGTTTTCTCATTCAAAAGTAATTTCTCAAGTTTCGTAGCGAATAAGCACTCCCACGCAGACGTTCCTAGGAACGCGTGACGAATCCCCGGAGGCTACACACCAATTGGCATTATCAACAAAATGAACTAGACAGCCGTGGAACAGCCCCTTTAATTCTCACTTTTGCTATTTCATGGATAGATGGATTAAGATGGAATCTATTGGGAAACTGAGTAATTTTAATTTTCTGTGGACAAAAACCTTGTACCAGAATAACTTCATGCCAAGAATAGTGCATCCTTTTCTTACATTTTCGAGGGCTATAGATGTAATAAGTTATATGAAATGACTCTAAAAAAAGGTTCTTGAGGAAGCCCGTGAAAACAAACTTTAAAAGTCTCAAATTCAGTCACAAAATGAAATCTTACGCAGGATGATTTTACCTGTGTTTTCTTGATTCCTGTGAAATTTGAAATTTATTTTCTCCGGCTCCCACAGATAACTAATTATATCTATAGCCCTTGAAAAGTGTATTAAAAAGCGATATGACTTGAAATATTCTGGTAAAAGATTTTTGTCCACTGAAAAGTAAAATTACTCAATTTCCTGGTTGGTACGATATGGGATATTAAATAGCTTTGTTTTATTTCCTTTATATTGGGAGACAACCTGCACGGCGGCATATATTACACTACATGCAAAGCAGTTATTGTACCCGGCATCCTTCATGGCCTGTGTAATGTTGCCAACGGCTTCGTCCAAAATATCCACCATACCAGCGTAAGTCCTGCGATCTTCATCATCAATAAAGCTGTACTTGTCGGAATACCGTTTTGGGACTTGGAGTGGAATATGGACATTTTGGAATGCCATATACAAAAACAAGGGTGTGGAAGAATTATGTGACTCGATGACTTTCTTCGCTCGCTGTTGAAAGGAACATGAACATTTGTCAGAACGTGGAATGTTTCACATTTTAACAAACAAGTTAAGCAGACGCAAAACTGGTCAGTGTGTTTCTTATTCTGTTAAATAAATCAAATAAATTGATTCATTAAGTTAACATCTTATTAATACTCGATACACTCGCGTGACAACTGATAGTTGTCAAAGTAATGACTGACATTTCGTTTAATTATTACTCTTTCCACTCATTAGGTTTATTTATCTACGCTTATACGCTTATATTTTTATGCTTAGGTGTTTATTTGTTCCAACCTTTGAACAGGCATACTCTCTTGTGAGGTATAGGACGACGAGAACGCTAGAACTCGAGGGCAGACAGGATGAATAAAGGAGGCCCAGGGGGAAGAGGCTCCTGTCTCCATCACCACCCTCCCCCAGGAGCCAGTGTTCACTGACTATAAGGTCAATACAACCTCGACTACAAGTAAGCTTCAAACTTTACCTCTGCAAAAGCAAATGTACCAAATGTTCCATCCAGGTCCCTCACTGGCTCCTTGTTGTCTCGAAGGTCTAATATATCTAACACTGTATGAGAGTAATGGTCTTCCTGAGCATTGTAAAAACCATAGAATGTATCGAAACCACGATATGTTGGAGTGATCTCCCACTTGTTGTAGCCAAGGTGCCATTTACCAACCATGTGTGTGGCATATCCTTTAACGAAATTTTAGATGAACCTTAAGAGTACGTACAGTTGTGACAAAACCGAACGTCATCAATGCTTAGGTTGATATTGCAGACCGGGACTGAATAAATACAATGGCAATATTGCCAAACCCTCTGGCTAGCTTGAGCTTCCAGCGCCCGGCGATATAACGTTTGAGAGAGAAATGACCTCACGCATCAACCTAGAGAGGGGGAGCGCTGCGTGACATCCAAAAAACGGCTGCGAGGGAGACTAGCATCAGCCAGAAGTGATTCCAGACGATAAATCATTTTTCAACGATATTATCAACTTTGAAGGCTTAAACGAAAACGGCCAGTAAATAAAAACGAATGCCAACTTCTTATGTGTGATTAGAACTGAAATAATGAGGCAACCTTGTCTTTAAAACAGTAAATTAATTAGAGTAACATTAAAGTTTGAGGTCTTTACGTCGATAACCAGTTACAGTACTTCAGAAATCGGAAATAAGGACTTAAGGCCTTTGAGATCGCACCTGGGAATCGAGCGCGGAATCTCCGGCAAAGAAGGGCCTCTCACTAACCGACTATACCGATCCTTGCTCTTAACAACATTTGTCTCGAGGTAGATAGATCAAGTTATAAACTGTTAACAGAGATGCATGTTAGCCTTTTATTGCCAATATATTTTCTTTTACGTACGGGAGCCAATGATTTGAAGAAATACCTGATTCTTTCAGCTTCTGGGGTAAAGTGGTGAAGTTAGTGGACAATCCATAAGGACTAAATGGAAGGAGAACTAAGTGCTGTAAACCTTCAGAAGAAAATTGATAAAAGATTTAATGATATTCATCAACACTTACTTCTTACTTAGGGCAAAATGTTGGCCTAGGGGAGGTGTTGGTGGGCAGTTTCCCAAAAATATATAATGATCCCGGCACGTTATGGTATAATTTTTTAAGAACGCATATAGAGTGGACCCAACACTCCACGAAAAAATTTGCTAGGGTTTTAATGTATCTCCTCGCCCTATTCTAGCAAAAAATATATATTTCATTTGCACCCACATCTTTGTTACTGGTAGAAAATGTGCAGTTTGTCTGACAATGGAAGCTATCAGCAACTCAGCTGAGATCTAAAGGATTAAGTGGTATAAACTCTAACTGTGAACTGGGATAAGACTATCCGATTTTGCACCCCCTTCCTCCCTCAATGCGTGAAAAAATTCTACTCTCCCCCAATAAGCTCGCATAGACTGAAAATTCTTTTGTCAGTTGCTCTCTCGAATTAAGAGAAACAAAAGCATCTAGCTCGTAAGGCTCCGCCACTGATTTTCTACGCTATCGTTGTAGAAAGTCCAAAACTGCGGCAAAGAGGGATATAAGGAATCTCGGCTTAAGGTCCATAAGCGTGACCCGCACTAATGAAATATTTAGGGTCAAATCTTTAATGAGACGAAAGGCCACTCACCAGTGTGAATTGGGTACATTCCCGTTAAGAGTGCACTTCTCGTCGGCGTACAAATCGGCATAACATAGTAGTTGTCAAGAATGACTCCTTCTGAGGCAAGTTGGTCAATGTTCGGCGTTTGGATTTTTGAGCCGTGAAATCCAACGTCACTCCAACCGAGATCATCAGCTACCACGAGCAGAATGTGAGGAGGTTTAGTAGCTCGGTTTGCAACAGCCACTGATAAAGAGAAGGCGACTAAACTGCAAAGACGGTACATTTTGTAGAGCTCCATTTTGTCCACTCTGCACACTACCTGCAGTGCCTCCGGAGGTCAATAAAAAGTTTTGCAGTGTCAGCGTGACCTGAAGTATTTATAATGCCACCGAAAATCGATTGCGACACTCCGTCAAGTGTTCATGGCAGCCACCCCGGGGGACCCCCATATAAAATGACGGGGATGCTCGTCGAAAAATTGAAAGGTTAAACTGACCCTAAAGGAGATTTTTGTGCGAAGTGTCACGACATTTTCTGTAAATTACTTTATGCACAACATTAAGCGATACCTGAATGGGCAAATATAGTGACTTGCCATCCCAAACACCTTAAGTGAGACAAAAATCTGCAATTTACATCCCAAAGCGAGACGACAGGCATCCCCTTCACTTTCATATGGGAGTCCCCAACTGGTAGCAAGGGTAGAATGGGTTGCAATCTACCAGCTACGGGGCCTAGCTATTAACGCCACCAAATGTATGCAAATTTCAATCTCATGTGACTTTTAACAGTTTACAGTATTGTGAACAAAATCAGTGCAATTTAGTTAAATATAAACATCGAGTAACATAAACAGTGTGGTTGATCACATGCCTGCTCGGAATGTTTACGTAACGCCCGGGGTGGGGGGTACTCAACAAATGTTTATGCGGGGAGGCTCCGCCTCGAGGTTTCACGAAACAGCTGGGTAAACCTTTCGTATACCTTCTATTTCGATTCTATTGATAAAGGTATCCCTTTCACATGCCTTGTCAGTCACAAAAATAGAACGTTTTCTCGACTTTATAAAGCCGTAAAATTCATCTGTTGGCCCTTTAACAGACCCAAATGACAGATTTCCCCGTCCTTTTATATACTTGAACAAGTGAAATCCCTACTTTTTTATTTTTTACCTGAAGCCTGAAAAAGATACCCCTTTAGGGAGGAGCCTCCTCGTATAGGCCATCATAGGGAGTAACCCCCTCACCCGGGACCTGACGTATGGCCTGGTACAGCCCGCACGGGGAGTATTAGAGCTAAGAATTTTTTTTTTTCAGGAAAGTTAATAACAATTCAGGATTTCCTTTTCGCTATATTTTATAAACCCAATCATTATGAGTACATTAAATAAACACATATCGTTCATTCCACTCTCTTGCAGACAACTGCATTAACAAGCGGCAAGCGGTTATACTGAACTAACAATAATGCTAAATTAAAGCTATGTATTAATTATACTACCTACTTAAAATGATAATCATGACGGATTCTTAAATGACAAATATTTAATAGTAAAAAAGTTCTCTGATCTTTTAGTTCTCATGAACTTATTTAATGGTCGAGAAGAACCAGGTCTAAGGTTATAAGGATTAGTTCTTTGTACAGCGGTGGACATCAAGCACGATAACGATCGATAATGGGTGGTCACGGGTGTCTGTCATCTCAACCACAAATTTATGAAATAGGAGCTCGCGTCTATTGGAAAGTGTAGCCTTTTCGTTGGCTAGCGACTGTGCCTGACTATACGAAGTGTTAGGATATATGATTTTAAGTTCCTTTTTTTGCACGGACCCCGCCCCGCTATTCTATCTGTCACACCTGCACGGCATATTCTAAAATCGGTCGAACACTACTCGTAAAGACTTTCAACATGTCTTGCCTTGCACGCCAGCTCTCTTTAATAGTCTGAGAGCGTAAAGTTTCTTTGATGCCTTAGCGGTATTATAGTCAACAGGGCAGTTCCATTTCAAGTTCTCATTAATGATTACTCCAAGCAACTGTATGATGAAAATTCTTTCTACTATTTGGTTTCCTATCATACAGGGGTCTCATTATAGTGTTCGGATTTCCCATAAAGTTCACGGCCGTCTACTAACATTTTTTTGGGTTGAGCCTCATACTGTGTTCCATACAATAATTATGTATATCCCTAACAGCAAAATCCAACAGGCTACACGAGTTACGTGGTATTTTAGATAAAAACTTTAGAAAGCTTAAGCTTGGAAAACGTGGAAGCCATTCTGGCGCTCCCAAGGATCCGGCTTCAATGTGAACCAGTACCCTGCTCTTAAACGCGGACTTAGGGCCAGTACATCAAGGCATTTTCTGCAAGAATCATCGGAAATTCGCAAAGAAAGTCAGTGGAAAGTACCGCAAGATAAAAATCCCGCCAGCTACGCAGGCTACTTTCGGGATTTATTTATTTTAAAACTAATTCGATTCGTAATAAACAGATTCAAAGGCTCTAACTAAATCTCCCGGAGATGCCATTTTCGTGTTGCAGTGATACATCTTCCAAGCCCTTGTCCTCTTCTTGAGGTTAAAAGAGTAAGACTAACGGCTTTTTGTATGTAGACAACTGTCGCCGCAAGAAAAATTATCTAACGCGAGTACTGTAGAATGCGTCCGCGACCAAGTCAAAGGCGGTTTGTATTTTAACTAAGCGACCTTTTGACGCATTGGGTGATTTGCTATGGCTTTGCCTGACGTCCTGCGCTACTGTACTCGCTAAGACCGTCAGTAATATCTTTTAGCAGTAACTTGGACTTTGCGTTAAAACTCATCAGACTCTAAGAAGTCTTGAAAAGTCAAACCCCCGAAAGAAATCGATACTGTGGCTATTAAAAACACTTTGGTTGAGGCGGTCTTCATTAAGAACTTTTAACTTTACCTATCTATGATTTTCCTAATTCGCCGAAGATACGACCTGCGGCGTTTTGCAAAGTTTTCATGAGGAAATGTACGGTGGCTCAGAGGAATAAAACACGTGCACAAATACAAAAAAAGAGCAAAAAAAAAAGAAACGTCGATCTTTATAGCAAATTACTTAAAATAAGTCCCGTCTTTACACAGCCCATGTTCTTTCCTAATCAGAACGGTTCCGCAGGTTTACGGAAGGAGGTTACGAAAATATTCTCGAAATCCCAGAAATCAAAAGGTGGGTGGAGGCACAAGCCCCTTCATGTAATACTGCACTCTTTCTTTCATTTCCTTTACCACGTCTGGAAGTTTCTCACTGAGGTCGTCGTGCTCCGTTGGGTCAGCGGTTATGTTGTACAGTGCAACTTGCAGAGTTCCCCCCGTGGTCTGTTGAGTGAATCGAACTTTTTCCGTGAACTGACAAATTTCATTAATTTCATTGATAGTTCCTGAAGTAAGGGCAGCTCTGGCTAGTATGTGTTACATCAAAAGGCCAATTGTCTTGCTAATTATCCTAATTAGGGTAAATATTGTAACCAACATTTTGGTTTACTTCCTTATAGACTGTCATGGCTTGTTCTCTCGGGTAAGCATAACTGGACCTGTAATATTCTATAAGCTTTAACATGTTTCTAGACATAGTCTGCAAAACAGTCGGGTTTTTTTCTCAAAATCAGTAAAGAAATCGGTAAAGCGTGGCGTAAGAGTCTTACGCGCGCGAAGCGCGCGAGCCTTACAGGCCCTACGTCTCGCTCTCTGTTTTCAGCCTCGTTCCAGACCTTTTGTTTGACTGCTCGCGCGTACTTGAATACGCAAAAATACGGACTGTTTTGCAGTCTATTCTAGACACGACAATTTCGCTAAAACCCTGGCTAAGAAACGATGTATATATTTCGAGTCTACAGGCCATCAGGTGAGGCGTCATGTTTAAATTTCTGGTCTTGATTGTAAAACATTCGATAGCGCTACCCATCGGATAAATCACTTTACAGCAGATAAGTACAGCGGATACCAATTGCGCTATTCAGTGCATACAGATTTGTCCCTTGTCCCGTGGATAGAATTATCCACCTTTTGGGAACTGTATATCTGTATATAACCGAATTGATTCACTGATTGAGCCGTTACGGCGATACGTCTGATACAATTTTAATAGTGTCAATTATTTTACTTTTTTTTCTCTTCCACTCTTCTTCTTTCTTTTGTCAGTCTAAATCGACTTACATGTATTAGAAGGATACGGCGGGGTCTAAGCCACCTGACTTACAGGAAGATATCTTTACTACTAAATACCTTTTCTCCATCTTGAAACCAGCCGAGCCTGCCGTTTTTATCAAAGGGTGTGTACTGCCTCATACTTGACTCTCCATCGAGCTCCGGGGGCTTATACCATGAGGCATTAGGAACACTCAAAAGAAGTTTCATGTCTCCTGCCCTCAGAGCAATCCCTTCGTAGATGTCAGTCGATAATTTTCTAAAAGAATTTTCCGTTTGAGCCTCCACATCAATATTGAGAAGTATTTCCTTTCTGGGTGACGGATCGCCATTGGAAATAGTATTCCACACATTCATACCATCCAGCGGAGTTGGTGCTTGATCAAGGGTACCACCTGTTGGAATATAGAGAAAAACGGTTGAAAATACACGATAATACAGCTTAGAACAAATAACAATGATGAAATAATTAAATGAATAACGTTTTAGAGGTAGCGCATCCACTAAGTGGTTCTTCCTGGTCGAATTGGAATTTGGAAATGTTGGCTTTTGAGGAGAGGGGAAAACTGGAGTAACTGCAGAAAAACCTCTTGGAACAAAAGAGAGAGAACCAACAACAAACTCTTCCCACATATGGCGTCGACGTCTGGATTTTAACCCGGGCCACATTGGTGAGAGGCGAGAGCTCTCACCACTGCGCCACCCTTTCTCCCCCACAGAACAAGCAGCAACACATCATGGAATCGTATGATCAAAGCTAGTAACTGTCTGATACTTCGTTACTGATTTATCTATTTGTTTAAATTTTTGCTAATTTTTAAGCATATGTTTACCTGCAATATTGACCAATGTTGGAAACCAGTCTGTAACATGCATGAGGCCTTCACATTTCTCTCCTCTTCTGCCAAGCATGTTTCCATGGACAAAGCTTACCCCTCTAACCCCTCCCTCCCATAACGTTGTCTTCTCCCCTCGAAGCGGCCAGTTGAATCCACCATGATTATGCCATCCTCCATTATCAGTAGTGAAAACCATGAGGGTGTCCTTCCATAATCTAAGAAACAACAGTAACTAACGTTAAATTAGAAGCCGTAACTCAAACTGAGTGACGGTAAAGATATGGAAGCTGTTGTACTCCAGTCATTGGCTTCTTTTATAGGGTATAAGTGACAGAGGAAAGATGACAACACGAGCCACTTACATATGTGTCACTCCCATGGTCAATTTATGGAGGCAGGTAATGTACTTTGAAATGAAACTGCAGACAGTGGCATGGCGTGACCATTCGTGACCTTATATCTTTTCATTTCCATATTTGTAATTCTCAATTTGACTATTTCTTGGAGTGAAAGGGTCAATCCGATACGGCATATTAGATAACTTTTTCTTATTCTTTCATTTATATTGGAAAAAAAACCGGCACGGCGGCATATATTACACTACATGCAAAGCAGTTATCATACCCAGCATCCTTCATGGCCTGTGTAATGTTGCCAACGGCTTCGTCCAAAATATCCACCATACCAGCGTAAGTTCTGCGATCTTCATCATCAATAAAGCTGTACTTGTCGGAATACCGTTTTGGGACTTGGAGTGGAATATGGACATTTTGGAATGCCATGTACAAAAACAAGGGAGCGGAAGAATTATGTGACTCGATGACTTTCTTCGCTCGCTGTTAAAAGGAACATGAAAATTTGTCAAAACATTGAACGTGCTACACTTTCACAAACAGATTAAGCAGACGCAAAACCGGTCAGTGCGTTTCTTATTCTTTAAAATAGAGAGATAAATAGATGCATTAATTGAGTTAACATCTTATCAGTATTCGATACACTCGCGTACAAGACGACAAGAAAGGTAGCAGAAAGAGCGAGCAGACAGGGTGGGAAGAGGTAGAGGCCCATGTCTCCCTCACCACCCTTCCTCGGGAGCTAGTGTTCACAATAAACTAGTGTGCAAGGTCAATACAACCTCGACTTTTATGCGCACGCAAAAAGTCAGTGACAAGCTTCAGACGTTACCTCCGCAAAAGCAAATGTACCAAATGTTCCATCCAGGTCCCTCACTGGCTCCTCGTTGTCTCGAAGGTCTAGGATGTCTAATACTTTATGAGAGTAATGGTCTTCCTGACCATTGTAAAAACCATAGAATGTATCAAAACCACGATATGTTGGTGTAATCTCCCACTTGTTGTAGCCAAGGTGCCATTTACCAACCATGTGTGTGGCATAACCTTTAACAAAATTAAGATGAATGTAAACAGTACGCAGTGGTGATAAAAATAGTCATCAATGCTTAGGTGACGGGAGTTATTGATATAGCTTAACAAAAAAAATAAATGGCAATAATGCTACACTTTCTGGCTGACTTGAGATTCGGTTAATTTTACGTGGACGGAGGGATGACGTCACGCATTAGCCAACATAGTAGGTCATAATGATGATTTTTTTCATCTTGATCATTCCGACTTCGAAGGCGTATTTAACGAAAAAGGCCGGTAACTAAAAACAATGCCAACTGTTTTATCTGTGATCAGAAAAAAAATGGAGTAAACTTGTCCTTTAAATAGTTAATTAATTAGGCTAACATTCTGTCTCGAGGTAGAAAGATGATGTTACAAACTACAACAGAGATTGATGCCAGCCTGACATCGTTCATTTTTATTATGAACTAGAGCCTATGATTTAATAAAATACCTGATTCTTTGAGCTTCTGAGGTAAAGTGGTAAAGTTAGTCGACAATCCATAGGGACTCGATGGAAAGAGAACTAAGTGCTGCAAGCCTTTGAAAGAAATAATGATACATGATATAAACTGATGGTATTAAAAGGGCAAAGGCTACCTACTGTTATGGTTTCATTTAGAAAAAGAAAACATCGAGGGGTCTTAACACTCCTCCAAAAATATTGGTGTCTTGATGAGTGTCCTCGCTCCTTTTCAACATGAAATTTGATGACTCATTTGCATACCCCCTCTTCATCACTGGTAGAAAATAACTAAGTGTAGTTTGTCTGAACAATACATTCGCTCTCTGCGAGTGTTAACTCATACCTGATATCTGACATCTAAATTACTTTCTGGCGGGTTTAAAACTTTGTCCTCTTCGCTGAGAAATAGATGAAAATGTAACGGTTAACTGACATTTTCCACCCCCCCCTCCCCCTCCCAAAATTTGTTTTCTTCCCTCCCTTAATGAGCTAGGACCCTTTTCGTGATGTCGCATAGGTGATCTCTTGAATTAAGTGCAGCCGAAAAGCATCTGGCTTGTAGGGCTGCATCACTGATTTTCTACGCTTTTATAGTAGAACGTCTACAACTACAGCAATTATGTATATCATCAATCTCGGCTAGCGTGAACTTTGTTTAGGGTTAATATCTTTAATGAAACGAAAGGCAACTCACCAGTGTGAATTGGGTACATTCCCGTTAAGAGTGCGCTTCTCGTCNTCTTCCCTCCCTTAATGAGCTAGGACCCTTTTCGTGATGTCGCATAGGTGATCTCTTGAATTAAGTGCAGCCGAAAAGCATCTGGCTTGTAGGGCTGCATCACTGATTTTCTACGCTTTTATAGTAGAACGTCTACAACTACAGCAATTATGTATATCATCAATCTCGGCTAGCGTGAACTTTGTTTAGGGTTAATATCTTTAATGAAACGAAAGGCAACTCACCAGTGTGAATTGGGTACATTCCCGTTAAGAGTGCGCTTCTCGTCGGCGTACAAATCGGCATAACATAGTAGTTGTCAAGAATGACTCCTTCTGAGGCAAGTTGGTCAATGTTCGGCGTTTGGATTTTTGAACCATGAAATCCAACGTCACTCCAGCCGAAGTCATCAGCTACCACGAGCAGAATATGAGGAGGTTTATTAGCTCGATTTGCAACAGCCACTGATAAAGACAAGGTTACTAAAATGCAAAGATGATACAGTTTGCAGAGCTCCATCTTCTTCCGGCTACCCCGAGAACTCATTAAAAGTTTCGTGGTGTGACCTCACATATTTATAATGCTACCGACGATCGATTGCGACACTCAGTCAAGTGTCTTTCGCAGCCCACGCAGTCTAGATATTGACGCAAAGACCTGTATGCAAGTATGACTTTCATGTGACTTTTAAACAGTTTATTGTGAACAAAATGCAATTTTGGTAACTTACACAGAGTAAACATAAATAGTGTGATTGATCACATGCCTGTTTGGAATGCTTATGAATAGAATAGCATGACATTGTATCTAAACATAGTTTCTGACCTTTTACAACGTGTCTGGTACGAGGAGTATTGAGGCTCTTTTTTCATGGAAGATATTTATAATTCCGATTTTCCTTTCACCTGGATAAATGACTAAATCAAAAACAGTTTATAAAAAGAATCATGAGTACACTGGTACCCTGCCCTTAGACGCGGACTTACAGCCAGTTAGGCATTTTCTCCAAAGTTTCATCAACAGTCACCTTCTCTCAATTTTTGCTTCCAAAACTAACGAAAGCGAAACGGAGTGTGTGTACAGTCTTGAATGTTGAAAAAATGAACCCGGAGCCACTTTTGGACTAGCCTGCGTAGCTGACCGGATTTGCAGGCGAGTGGGGGCGGTGCTGCAGGCGGGATTCTTATGTTCGGGTTACTTTCTTGGCGGCGGCAGAGCCGCGAAGGATTTTTGCAAAGAAAGTGCTCCGAGCATAAAAATTGCCCCAGCTACTTAGGCTACCATCGGGCTTTATTTATTTTAAAACTAATTCGTAATAAACAGACTCAAAGTCTATAACAAGGTCTCCCGGAGATGCTATTTTGTTGGAGTGATTCAGCTCGCAAATTCTTGTCCTCTTCCTGAAGTTAAAAGAGTAGCAGTTTTTTGTGTGTAGACAACTGAAGCCGCAAGAGAAATCATCCCACGCCAGGACTGTAGAAATCACGTGACCTACCAGAGCTTTGGTGCCCTCTGAACTCGAGACGAAGACTTCTGGTTCTCTGTCAACTTAAACAAAGAAACAAGCCCATAAGTTTGTTTTAGAAAGGAATAATAGAAATAGACATGAAACCTAGTCAGTTCAAACAATTATTTCGGAATAAAATACGTTCATAGAAAATTCAGACGAAGGTACAAGCTATCTCGCCATCTTTGAAAAAGCGTCAGAACAGACGCCTCCTTATTGGAGCGTCTTATTGTTTGGGGCAAAGGAGCTTATTTCAAGAAAATAGAGACACTGTCACGAGATCTTGTTACAGTTCGCAGAGTGTACTATACTGTTAAGCGTTTAGACCATGAATCCCATGAATCGGTGAACGTGTCCTTAAAATGAACGTTTGATTGCACAATATGAAAATGATTCCATTTTTCTGTTTGAATGTTCCAGTTTTTTTAAAAAAGTTCCAGTGTTTTGCCAGTTAAAACTGTTTTTTTCACAGGTAAAACTAAACAGACGTGTATTCATTGGGAATTGATTCAGATTTAGTTATTGTTGTCACTTCAACTAGTCCCTATAAGCCTCACAACTGTGGCCGTTTCCAAAGTGTCCGCCTTAGAGGGAGTTGACTGTATTCGGAAGCACTTACTGGCGTTTAAGGGCGGTGTTTACTGTGTGACGACCCTCTAATAATCAGCTAACAAATTGATGAATGCTGTCAACTCACTCCATAAAAAGGACACCGCCGAGGACGGCTCCACTCGTTCCTCTTATAGTAACACAACAGAAAAAACGGCTAGGGAAGGACTATCACCAGGTTTTTGATTGAAAGAGGTTTCCGATAAGAGGGAGGATCGCATAATCGAACCTCCGTGTGCGCTGACCACCTCTTTTAGGCGATCACTCTGGCGTTAGTGACAGCATATTCAAAATACCAAAATTTCCCTGTTAAATACCTTACTTGGAACCTCTCGGAAAAGACCAACCCTTTTTTTTACGCGTCCGCGTCCAGAGTTCATGACGATTTTATAACTTGCCATTGCAGTTAACTAAACGACCGTTTGACGCATTAGGTCATTCCGCAAATGGGGTTCCCTTATGTCCTACGCTAAACGGAGTATACTCAAGCACCATACGAATTTTNACGCGTCCGCGTCCAGAGTTCATGACGATTTTATAACTTGCCATTGCAGTTAACTAAACGACCGTTTGACGCATTAGGTCATTCCGCAAATGGGGTTCCCTTATGTCCTACGCTAAACGGAGTATACTCAAGCACCATACGAATTTTTTTGGGAAATAACATAGCACTGTGCGTTTCGTAAATTGTATGCAGTGAATCCTCTTCGAATAAACAGATATGTCCGGGGTTGTTCTGCAAGGATACAACCGTAATTCGATTATCCAAGACCAGTAAAACTTGTACATTCAATTCGGGCGGTCGCTTACCGGAGTTTCCATTGTAACTATTATTTTATTGTAAAAAAAAACCGTATATGTAATGGGCCTGAGCTTGTTAAACAAAGTTGACTCAGTATCCATGTCAAACGGCTTCAACAGTTCGAGAGCAAGATGATAAATGTTTAGGTAAAAGTTGACGTCTGGGAATCTCAGAAAGTCTCAACATCGCCTCCCAACGAATCTCTACATGAACTAATTGAAAAAAAAATACGAAAGCCGAAGGAGGGCTTCAGACTTTAGACTTGGTCTTCAATCTTCGGACTTCAGACTACATACTTCATACTTCAGACTTCAAGTCGAAGGCTTAGGACCTCTGGAATTTGACTTCCGTAATCTCGCTTCTAACTTCTGACTTCCGACGGCTTAAGAATTAACACTTAAGACTTCAGACATCAGACTTTTAAGTCTTCCGAAGTCAGACTTTGGATTTCATACTTCATAGTTCAAACTTCGTACTTTAGACTTCAGAATTCAGACTTCCGCGGCCTTAATACTTAAGACTTCGCACTTCTGTCTTAAGACATCAGATATCAGACTTCATACTTCAGAGTGACTTCAGACTTCAGACCTCACACTTCAAACTTCAGACTACCGACTTCATTCTTCAGACTTAGACTTCTTCATACTTCAGACTTTAAACTTCTGAACTCAGACTTCAAGGTATTTGTTTTCTTCCTTTACAACAAGACATTTAGGACTGTAATATGAGTTCTGATATCCGAAGTCCGTTGAGTGAAGGTCAGTTGTCCGATGTGCGTTGTTCGATGTCCGATGTCCGATGTCCGATGTCCGATGTCCGATGATCGATGTCCCATGTCTGATGTCCGATGTTCGATGTCCGATGTCCCATGTCCGATGTCAGGTGCCCGATGTCTGCTGTCCGATTTCCGAAGTCCAATGTCCGAAGCCTATTGAGTCGGTCCGTTGTCTGATGTACGCTGTTCGATCTCTAATGTCCGTTGTCCATTTGCCAATGCCCGATTTCTGATGTACGATGTCCGATGTCCGATGTTCGATGTCTGATGTCTGATGTCTGATGTCTGATGTCCGATGTCTGGTGTCCGATGCTTGATGTCCGATTTCCCGTGTCCGATGTCTGATGTCTGATCTACGATGACCAATGTCTCATGTCCGAAGTACGTTGAGTTTAGGTCCATTGTCCGTTGTTCGATGTTTGGTGTCTGATGTCAGTTGAGTGTAGGTCCGATGTCTGTTGTGCGTTGTTCGATGTCCAATGTCCTTTGTCCGATGTCTGATGTCCGAAATCCGTTGTTGAGTAAAGGTCCGTTCTCCGATTTGGGTTGTTCGATGTCTGATGTCTGATGTCCGAAGTCCTTTGAGTGAAGGTCTGATGTCCGAGATCCGATGTCTAATTTCCAATGACTGATGTCTGATGTGTGATGTCCGAAGTCCGTTGAGTGAAGGTCCGTTGTGCGATGGGCATTGTTTGATGCTCAGTATTCGTTGTCGGATGTCGGATGTCTTTTGTCTGACGTCCGATGTTCGTTGTCTTATGTCTAACGTCCGGAGTGCAATGTCTGATGTCCGATGTCTGTGGTCTGATGTTCGATGTCCAATGTCCAATGCGCGATGTGCGAAATCCGATCTCTGATGTGCGATGTCCGATATGCGATGTCCAATGTCCGTTTGCTTAGTGTCTGATCTGATGTCCGATGTACGATGTCCGATTAGGTGTGATGTTCCTCCTGCTGTTTTTCTTTTTTTAAGAAAAAAAAACAGCTCTTATGACGTATATGAAGTTGTTAACGACAAGCAACGCGTAAGATAGGACATCTATCCTAAGGGTCCACCATAAAAACTATCAGCACTTGTGTCAGACAGAATTAAGCATGCTGGTAAGAAAAAATCGGGAAAAGTCCGAACATTTTCACTTATCATGTTCGTTTACCTGTACATATCAATGACACAAGATCACTGAAACTGGCAACGTCACTTGGGTTTGACGTCACTACAACGTGGCTCACGGAAGAGGCAACTTTTTGCAGTTGGTTTATGTTCACATTGTCAGCAGGAATGACACCCTGGGGTGAACGCAATCCTAAGCTAATGATGCTAATTCCATCATCTTTCAGGGCCTGAGAAGAGGTTGTAGCCATCTCGGGATCTAGAGAATATGAAATAGAAAGTACAGTCAAACCTGTAATTTGGACGCCTAAGGAAAAAAGCAACGTATCCTCATTCAAGAGGTGTCTATAAGGGTATTAACAGTAGATGGTTTGATTTTTTAGGAATTGAGCGAACTATCTGTAATGGAGAGGTGTCTGTATTGTAGAAGCGCTCGTAATAACTGCTCAGGTTCACTGTAGCAGTAACCTTATAATGATGTTGAGTTGACGTCATCCCACTACAGCAACCTTTATTCATTTTTGCTTTTGCTTCTAATTCCTACTAAAGCTTCGATAAAGGCTACGATCAAAAGACAAGAAAGGTCAATTAGAAAAGTGATGGAGGCTGGGAGTTTAGAGGATTCAAGAGTCTTTTTTCTTTTCTATACACCTGAGATTAAGTATTTTTCTAACTTTTTGTTTGGCTGCCGATTTTTGGGATAATTCACGGGTATAGTTTTTGGTTGATAATTTACTATGGGATTTTTTTTGCTTTTTCGCCACTTCATGTCTATTCATAACTCATTCACTTACACTGATACAGGCCACTGGAAACAAAAATTATAACACGGCGCATGCGCTGTTTCCTCTCCCGGTTAAGCAATCGATGAGCCTCATTGAAGGCAAGAATTGTATTGGCGTCGAATGGCACTACACTTGATATGTGATTTAAAGATTGCTTTAGAGCAGTGATATCCTGTTCGTCACTGAAGGCGTGGTTGCTAGATACTGAGTTCGCGAATGTTATAATTGCCACGTTGGTTCCTAGAAGTAAATGCGAATAATTAGGCATTAGATAATGGTCTCGAAGAACTTTACTAGAACTTTACATGCGCTTGTATTGCATTCTTTTGGCAAAGCCTGGCTAAAATATAGAATAGAGAGCAAGCTTCGCTCGTACCCCTCGACACGCGTGTAACAAAAATGGGCGCCTTTCGTTAAGAAACTCTAAAGCGTCTCGGGTCTTAAAAGACCCCTTGAAAACAATAAAAAGATCGTTTTCTGAAAGACTTCGAATGATCAAGAGTGAGAGATCCATAAATGATAAAGGCATCACAACTTGTACCTGATAAGACGGAACAATATTTAATAACTGTTATCGGTGACTTCACAAGAAGTGTTTTCTTAACTGGGGCAAAGTTCATTGGCTTCGATGACTGGGACGACCAGAACAACCGAGTCAATCGGTACAACTGGGATGACCATGATGACTTACAGCTGTAAATGACCCGGCGCGACTGGAACGACCGCGACAACCGGGACCACTGGCCTGACCTAGATGATTGGGATGACCAGGACAATAGGGACAATCGGCACCACTGGGATGACTGGGACCACTGGGACAACAAGGGCAACCGCGGTGACCTGGACGACCAGAACTTGGAGGAACAGTGGAACAGAGATGACAGAAGAGTGGAACAATGATGCTGAAACAGTGGAAATGAGATGGTGGAACAGTGCAACAATGATACTAGAACAGTAGAACAGAGATGGTGGACCAGTGGAACAATGATGGTGGAACAGTGGAACAGTGATGGTGGAACAGTTAAACAAAGTGGTGGGACAGTGGAACAATGATGGTGAAACAGTAAAACAGTGGAGGTGAAACAATGGAACAGTGAAGGTGGATCAATGGAACAGTGATGGTGGAACAATGGAACAAAGATGGTAAAAAGGTAGAACAATGACAAGGGAACAGTAGAACAGTGATGGTGCAACGGTGGAGCAGTGATGGTGGAACAGTGAAAAAGAGATGGTGTAAGAAAGGAACAATGATGGTGGAACAGTGGAACAAAGATGAAGGAAGAGTGGAACAGTAATGGTGGAACAATGGAACCGAGGTGGTTGAATAGTGGAACAATGATAGTGGAACAGTGGAACAGTGACGGTGGAACAGTGGAACGGAGATGGTAGAAGGGTGGAACAATTATGGAGGAACAGTGGAACAAAAGATCACTGAAACTGGCAACGTCACTTGGGTTTGACGTCACTACAACGTGGCTCACGGAAGAGGCAACTTTTTGCAGTTGGTTTATGTTCACATTGTCAGCAGGAATGACACCCTGGGGTGAACGCAATCCTAAGCTAATGATGCTAATTCCATCATCTTTCAGGGCCTGAGAAGAGGTTGTAGCCATCTCGGGATCTAGAGAATATGAAATAGAAAGTACAGTCGAACCTGTAATATGGACGCCTAAGGAAAAAAGCAACGTATCCTCATTCAAGAGGTGTCTATAAGGGTATTAACAGTAGATGGTTTGATTTTTTAGGAATTGAGCGAACTATCTGTAATGGAGAGGTGTCTGTATTGTAGAAGCGCTCGTAATAACTGCTCAGGTTCACTGTAGCAGTAACCTTATAATGATGTTGAGTTGACGTCATCCCACTACAGCAACCTTTATTCATTTTTGCTTTTGCTTCTAATTCCTACTAAAGCTTCGATAAAGGCTACGATCAAAAGACAAGAAAGGTCAATTAGAAAAGTGATGGAGGCTGGGAGTTTAGAGGATTCAAGAGTCTTTTTTCTTTTCTATACACCTGAGATTAAGTATTTTTCTAACTTTTTGTTTGGCTGCCGATTTTTGGGATAATTCACGGGTATAGTTTTTGGTTGATAATTTACTATGGGATTTTTTTTGCTTTTTCGCCACTTCATGTCTATTCATAACTCATTCACTTACACTGATACAGGCCACTGGAAACAAAAATTATAACACGGCGCATGCGCTGTTTCCTCTCCCGGTTAAGCAATCGATGAGCCTCATTGAAGGCAAGAATTGTATTGGCGTCGAATGGCACTACACTTGATATGTGATTTAAAGATTGCTTTAGAGCAGTGATATCCTGTTCGTCACTGAAGGCGTGGTTGCTAGATACTGAGTTCGCGAATGTTATAATTGCCACGTTGGTTCCTAGAAGTAAATGCGAATAATTAGGCATTAGATAATGGTCTCGAAGAACTTTACTAGAACGCAACATGCGCTTGTATTGCATTCTTTTGGCAAAGCCTGGCTAAAATATAGAATAGAGAGCAAGCTTCGCTCGTACCCCTCGACACGCGTGTAACAAAAATGGGCGCCTTTCGTTAGGAAACTCTAAAGCGTCTCGGGTCTTAAAAGACCCCTTGAAAACAATAAAAAGATCGTTTTCTGAAAGACTTCGAATGGTCAAGAGTGAGAGATCCATAAATGATAAAGGCATCACAACTTGTATCTGATAAGACGGAACAATATTTAATAACTGTTATCGGTGACTTCACAAGAAGTGTTTTCTTAACTGGGGCAAAGTTCATTGGCTTCGATGACTGGGACGACCAGAACAACCGAGTCAACCGGTACAACTGGGAAGACCATGATGACTTACAGCTGTAAATGACCCGGCGAGACTGGAACGACCGCGACAACCGGGACCACTGGCCTGACCTAGATGATTGGGATGACCAGGACAATAGGGACAATCGGCACCACTGGGATGACTGGGACCACTGGGACAACCAGGGCGACCGGGGTGACCTGGACGACCAGAACTTGGAGGAACAGTGGAACAGAGATGACAGAAGAGTGAAACAATGATGCTGGAACAGTGGAAATGAGATGGTGGAACAGTGCAACAATGATACTGGAACAGTAGAACAGAGATGGTGGACCAGTGGAACAATGATGGTGGAACAGTGGAACAGTGATGGTGGAACAGTTAAACAAAGTGGTGGGACAGTGAAACAATGATGGTGGAACAGTAAAACAGTGGAGGTGAAACAATGGAGCAGTGAAGGTGGATCAATGGAACAGTGATGGTGGAATAATGGAACAAAGATGGTAAAAAGGTAGAACAATGACAGTGGAACAGTAGAACAGTGATGGTGCAACGGTGGAGCAGTGATGGTGGAACAGTGAAAAAGAGATGGTGTAAGAAAGGAACAATGATGGTGGAACAGTGGAACAAAGATGAAGGAAGAGTGGAACAATAATGGTGGAACAATGGAACCGAGGTGGTTGAATAGTGGAACAATGATAGTGGAACAGTGGAACAGTGACGGTGGAACAGTGGAACGGAGATGGTAGAAGGGTGGAACAATTATGGAGGAACAGTGGAACAGTGATGGAGGAACAG